TCTACCCCTCACCCTATATCCCCTTTACTTCTCCTGGACGTTTTCCTCCTCCTCGATCATCTCCTAAGGTCCCCAGGTTGAGAGAGAAAAAGTGAAAGCCTAAAGTTATCTGCGGCCGCCATTTGCGACACAGCTATCATCTTAACCTGCCCCCCTCCCCTCCTTTACCCCCTCCTCCACCTCTCCCTCATATATCATCCAACCCCTGTTTCATCCACCCTCTATCTCATTCACCTCTTCCATCTCACCCACCTTCTTCAACTCCCAACTACCATCACCCATATATCCAACCCCCTTACTCATCCATCCCCGGTTTCATCCACTAACTCCTATCTCACCAATCTTCTTCAACTCCTAACTACCATCACCCTTATATCCAACCCCTTAACTCATCCATCCCAATTTCACTCATCCTATCACCTCTAAGACCCTCTTCATCCAATCCTTCACCTCTCCTCTCCTTAACATTTATTTCTTCGGTCAATTATCTACCCCCATCATCCAACCCGTTACCATCCCCGAACAAATTCCCATCATTCATAATTCCAACTCCCACCTCTCTTCCCCCTAATTCTAAACCTTACGTCATTCATTCCCTGATTTCAACCCCCCACCACCTGCCCCCTATCTCCAACTCCTCTCCCCCTTGACCCACCCACCCCCCCTTCCTACACCTTATCCTCAACCACCCCCCTCTATGTTTTATCGCCTCGTCCCCCTATCTATTTTATTGCCTATGATGAGTGCTATAAGTATTGATGTCACATAACTTTCCCAATACATGAGAAGAGGAAGACAGTTTTTAAGCTACTGAAAAAAAAAATACAGTATTGATGTGGCAAAAAAAAAAATCTAGTATTTGAGTCACTGGGTAAGAATAACAATATGGTATTTGCTTCGGTGAGAAAAAAATATATAGTATTTGAATCTTTGGAAAAATATAATAATTCCGAGTTATTGTAAAAAAAACAAAAAACAGTAGCCTATTTTCCGTGAATTTAGAGAGACACCCAATCCACCCCTTCTTTTCTCCTCCCCTCTTAAAATTAAACCCTAAGTATTTCGATAAACAATAACACGTTAACCTATATACTCCCTCTAAATACCCCCTCCACCTTCGCTTATACCGTTCCCTTCCCATTCTTCCTACTCCTCCCCTTCCTAGTGTCTCCAACTACCTCGTCCCATTCCTTCCCCTTACCCCGCCCCCCTCCCACTGCCAGCTCCCCCTACCACATCCCCTACCCTATCCCTCTCCCTTCTCCTCCCTCACCTCCTCCCCTCATTTTCTTTACTCCCTCACCCCATCCTTCTCTCGCTCGCTCCCTCTCCTCCTCCCCTCATTCCATCCCCTGCCATCTCCTCCAATTCCCTCTCCTGACCTTCTGAGTGGTAGACTTCCAAAATTTACGACCCTGAATCGCCTTAAGCAAACACATATTTTGGGCTGTATTTTGAAGAGGAAGGAGAGAGAGAGAGAGAGAGGGGGGAGGGGGGAGATGTCCTGCTGAAAGGGGCAACGACGGAAAATAGAGGAGGGGCGAGGAGGAAAGAGAAGGAAGGAGAGAGAGAGAGAGAGAGAGAGAGAGAGAGAGAGGTCAAATAATGATACAACACATATTGATTGTATAATGCATTAAAAAAAAACGTGTATCAATAAACGTAATACACTACACTAGACAACAACAAAAAAAGAATCACAGTGAAGGTTCTCTAGTCTAGCATAAACACAAACATAAGAGAAAAAACACGTTGAAAATTCTCAAGCGTAAGCCAACTGGAGTAGCATCTGTATTATACACATTACCAATCTATAATCATGCACTCGGGAGCCGCACCAGAATTATCATGACCTTCAATTATACTAAATAATCCGAATTATAGAGACGCAGGATGGGAAAAATAAACGAGAGAGTAACTGGTTGGTGGGAGTGAGACATTGATGTAAACATGTTTATTATGGGGGTGAACAGGTGGTTGACGGTGAATGGAAGAAGAAGAAGGTGGGGAGGAGGAGGAGAAGAAGGATAATGGAGACGATAAGGAGTTAGGAAGGAGAAGGAGGAGGAGAATAGAGATGATGAGGAGGAAGAAAGGAATGGGAGGACAGGAGAGAGAGGAGGAGGATAAGAGACGAAAGAGGAGAAAGAGGAGAAGAAGGAGAAGGAGGACATGAGAGAGAGATGATAACGATAGGGTATAGAAGAAAAATGACACGAGGAAGATAAGAAGAAGGAAACCGGAATATCAAGTGAGAAACATAAAAGTTGGGAATTACAATAAAGAATGATAAGGGAAAATACATAAATGGGTACATATAGAGGATTAGAAAAAAATAGAAAAGAAGGAATCAACTAAAGACAAGAATAATTGGAAACACGTAACACTACTTAATATTGACGTTGTATTTACTTGTGTACAACTATTATTATGTATCAATAATCTCATTTCCTCACTCAATCATTAGTAATTCATGAGACTGATTAAGATTACATAAATACACCTGTACAAAATACCTTTATAAATGATGGCATGCATATCAGGTAGTGCTCAGGCCTATAAATCTATCACGCTCTGATTTAAAGCATAGTCGCTCGCATGACATAAAGCAGTAACACGACTTTGTCAATAAAGGTCAATTTACTCCGACAATCATCCTTCTCAGTTTTTTCAACTCCTAATTTTTTACTGAAATGGTAAAAGGAATAGTTCCAACGTTACCAAAATATAAATTATTTAATGTATTTGATTTACATGGGAATATATATATATATATATATATATATATATATATATATATATATATATATATATATATATATATATATATATATATATATATATATATATATATATATATATATATATATATATAAAATTGTTTACTATGCGATTGAGATTCTAATATCACTGAGAAGATTATTTCCTATTTAATCGATTCAATAACGACATAAATTTCTACGTCTTAATATCTTCATCATATAAGATGTAAAATTATTTAAAAATATGACAATTATTTTCGTATCCAAACTTCCGTTATCTAGAAACTTTATCAAGGTTATGATTTTTATTTGAAATTATTTGTTGCATAAAATAACACCTAGTTAAGTGTTTGAACGACCTTGCCAGCTGATATACCTTAAACAACAACAACAACAACAACAAAATAATAATATCAGAAGTCTCTTGATTCATCCCAAATATCATAATTCATTTGATTTATTCATTCGATTCATAAGAAAAAAATATATATTATTTACCTAAATTATGTAATTGGATAAGTGACGCTCATATAATATGTTACACATCACTCAGAATATAGATTATTGTTGTGGTATTTTCCTTTTCAAAGATAAAAATAAGAAAAACAAGTATATATTATTATTATTATTACCATTATTACTATTATTATTATTATTATTATTATTATTATTATTATTATTATTATTATTATTATTATCATCATCATCATTTTAAGCAAATTCTCATATCTAAGTATAGTGAGAGTAATGGAGACACGAACACATACATAAATTCCTGATTAACAGTGGGTCAAGGGTTGTTGGGAGGGGGGGTAACATTATTCCCCCCCCCCCACACTACCTCAAGATTGATCGTCCACACTCAACTCTTGATCTATCCTCAAGTGTTGAATATTAAATTAGGATATATATAGCGTTTATAGTAACAATGGTCGGTAATAAATCTCTGTACTCTTTTATCAACTGAGAAAGAAACATGTTTACAGTTATATGTAGAAATACCACATATGTAAATGTTAAGGTAGAGTATTCGTTATGCGGGTTAAGTAAACAAGTTACATTTGCACTCACTATATAATGCAAGTCAGATGTATTGTTTCGCGTTGTGGTATAACAGTTATGACTCATAACGAATTGGGTGTCTGAAGGAAGGGAAACACGGTGATAGCTTTTCGATGATTAAATATTTTCGTATTAAATCATCCAGCAATTAAGAAGATAATAATAATAATAATAATAATAATAATAATAATAATAATAATAATAATAATAATAATAATAATAATAATAATAATAATAATAATAATAGTAACAATAATAACAATAATAATAATGATAATAATAATAATTAATTGAAATAGCACAAATAATGATTCCACTAAACCATATTTAACACGGCTACACAAGTCAACAAACGTAATAAGTATTTAAATTTTTCGTAATTAAAAAAAAATCAGCCTTCGTCGGAATTCAGATAAAGAAGGAAAGGTGATAACTATGGTAACAATAATATTGATTGCTACAAAAATGACATCGATAACAATACTACTACTACTACTAATAATAATAACAACAGTAGTGAGAATTAAAATGCTATCGATAGCAATAATAATAATAATAATAATAATAATAATAATAATAATAATAATAATAATAATAATAATAATAATAATAATAATAATAATAATAATAATAATAATAATAATAATAATAATAATAAAAAATTAATAAATAATAAATAATAAATAATAAATAATAAATAAATAATTATAAAAATAATGATAATAATAATAATAATAATAATAATAATAATAATAATAATAATAATAAATTAATAAATAATAAATAATAAATAATAAATAATAAATAATTAATTATAAAATAATAATAATAATAATAATAATAACAATAATAATAATAATAATAATAATAATAATAATAATAATAATTCTCTCACTTTTAATACAGCTACTAATAAATAATGATAACAATAATTCTTCCATATCACACACGGGGGAAAGCGGCGGCCAGTGCGATACCTGGACTTCCGAATTGGCGTCTGAAACACCTCAGATAAACACAAGGTCCGTGTCCTCTCTGCCGTCGATGATGGAACCGAACCTCCACAACCGAGGGAAATTTTGGCTTTTCCATCCATTCTTCCATCCAAAGACAATTCACCAAAGAAATCGTCCCCAAAACTATCGCCAGTGATCCCGTCACGATGGTGGAAATAACCTTGGTGGTTGATATTGGACGAATGGTGGCGGCGGTGGCGGCGGGCGGGCGAAGAGGAACCCATCTCGGCGTGGCTCTTCCCTCCACACTGCCACCCATTTTGTCTTGCTCCGCCGCTGGCTGCTGGCTGGCTCAGACCCGGGAGGGGGGCGCCGCGCCTGCCTCTCATCCCACTCCCCCTTCCGTTCCCCTCTCTCTCTTTCTCTCTCTCTCTAGCTCTCACTAGAGGCCTCCTCCTACTCACTCTTCCACCAGCTTCTTCACCAACCCTCATAGCACTTCTCCTTCACGCACTCTCTCAAACTCTCTCTTTGGCTCTCTCCCAATTTCTCTCTCTCTCTGTCCCTCTTACTCTCTCTTTCCTTCTCTTATTCTCTCCACATTCTTTCTTTCCCTGTCTCTCTCATTTGCTCTCCTACGTACAAACTTCTCTCTCTTTTTGCCGGAGTGAGGAGAATGATGTGTGAGAGGGGCCCCCAAGACCAACTCAGAAACGATGAAAGAGAAAAGAAAAAAAGGAAGAGGAGGGGAAGATTAATTGCCCCCTTCTTTCTTTTCTCATCAACCTTTGTTTTCTTACTTTGGGGAAAGGGGAGAGGAGGTATGGAAAGGGGGGTTTTGAAAATTAGACCGAGTATTCTCATGAGCGTAATTTTGACTTGTTAAGTAATTAGCACATTGAGCTAATGGTCGGGACGTGATGGGTAGATTAGTTGTTTCATATCTTAATGCTCTTCAGTCCCCCGCCCCCCCCCCACCTTGTCCATCAAAAAAAGGGGGAAGGAAAAAACAAAAGAAAAAATAAATTAAATTCGCTTCACTCCATTGGGTTTAGAATTTATTTGAAGAATAGGACGAAAAAAATATATATACGATACGTGGATTATTAAACTATGAGTGACAGACAGATACAGACACACACAATGTATAGTTCCTGAGATATGATACCATAGTAGAAAACTTTCAAGCACAAAAAATTAGAAACTTATCGATGAACTCTAATACAGAAAACTAGGTAGATTGTTTACCTCTGCCTTCCTTACCCCTCGTGTCCGACAGGATGAACGAAAACACCAAACAAACCTATTGTTTACTATGACAATAAGTACATTTTTTGTTGTCGAGGACAATTAACCCCCGAGACATAAATAAGAAAGGGGGGAGCGTCTCCACCTACGGCCACAAAAACATCAACATCAAAACCTCGAGGCGCTGAGAAGACGAAGACATAGTAAGAAAGAAAAAATACGCGGCCAAGGTATATGTGACAAGTAAACAGATGATGACGTCGCCGAGGCGAGAGAACAATTTCAACATCAGTATTAAAACCCGAGGTGTTAATAAGAGGACAGAGAGACGGAGCGAGAGATAGAGTGACCAACATGAAGAACAAATACAATACGAAGGTAATGATAAAATTAAACGGCAGGTGACATCATTGTTAAAAGTCAAATTCATGAAAGTGACGATAATACGAGGGAGAATAATTAATATAACAGGATGGGAGGAAAATAAGCAACAAGGCCCCAAAATGGGTGTTAACAAGAGGAGGGGAGGATGGTATCTATTCTCTCCCCGGGGGCTTGAAGCCTCACCAAAGTTTTAAAACTACTTATCGTTAACTAACTTTACAAACTTTCCTGCATTAATCATGTTTTATCATCGCAGGAAAAAATATCACCCATTAAGCAGCTTCAAAGAATTAAAAGATTGCTCCATAATTTCACACATGGATCATGCAGCTAACATTTTTGCACTTCATTATGTGTTGTTAAAATTGCGGAGTATATTTATTTATTTATTTATTTTATTAGAGGACACTGGCGTAGAGAAAAATGCTTCACTCTTGCTTGGCTGAGACACTATGTTGGGGTGAGCATCTCTATATCGGAGAAAATGAAAGGTTTTGTGGACTTTATAACGCGTCATTAAAAACAACTCTCCAGCTGGCTATTTTTAAGATATATGTTATCTTGGTAAGACCATTAATAGCCTGCCTGCTACGGTGATTGCTTTCCTGGCTTACTGAGGATTGACCAATGCTTGAATTTACCGACAAAATATGATCTATCATTTTCTTTGTATTTCACTTATCAATTTTTTAAGAGGAATATATATATATATATATATATATATATATATATATATATATATATATATATATATATATATACTACCTGAAACATAGTTCAATTAATACCTAATGAAAACCATAGACCGCAGACAATAATTCGCCTACCTAGCACACACGCACGCCTCTCTCCACGCCAACACTTGTGCAAAACGCCGCTCACTCGTATATACACACACACACACACACACACACACTCACATAAAGGTCTCCACCATTCATAAGTGTCCCTTTGAAGATTATGACACGATAAGACACCACAAGTCCGAGGAGTCTTTATTCATGTACGTGTTGAAGTGGTAGGCAGTACTTCTCACCGCTCACCCCTCGGCCCTGGTACATGACAGACCAGCCACCTACACACGACATAGCTGCTTTTTTTTATTACTATTTTCTAACGCGTTAAGTTTTACACTTCTCATAATTGAAAGACTATAATTATCGCTTTTTTTCGTAAAATTTAATGTAATTATTTGTTATTTCTATTTATAAGCGATAATTCAAAGTATTTTATAATAAGTCTATGAACACTGCCGATGAGTAGCACGTTGGCGTAAGCTTCACATAGACAAGTAATCAACAATCATAATGGCGTCTGTCACTTGATGGAGTTCAGCAAACATCGCAACACTGACCCACTTGTGTTATTTACACCGCTTAGCGCACTGCCACAGTATATAAATAAATAAAATAACAAGCATATGCATGTATATATTTCAATACAAACAAACACACACACACACACACAAAAAAAAAAAAACATATAAATATAAATATTATCTTTGTCATATAAATTCCTTATATTAAAGGTAAGAGATCTAATGAAACACATGTACAGAGAGAGAGAAGGGGCAGACAGTAGACAGTCACCCAAGCACTATTACCATCCGCCTGCCAACAAACCATCTCCGTGACAATCGTTTATCGTGTAAATTTACGATGTACGTCCTTAAATACATCGTATGGTGGGGGTCTACCTGTGCGTTTACAGTGCGTCTATAGTGCCTAGTACTTTGCGTTTAGCGTATATCTATGGTGTATTACTTGGTGCGTTGACGATACCTTTTTTCTTCAGTGCTTCGCGCCGTCCTATGAGTGCTACAAGGTCTTGAACAAGCGAGTATACGTTACAAAATTGTCCTTAAAATTTTGGCGAATGTAGACCTCTTCTGCCACCCTATAGCAGTGAGCTTAAGTTCAGCACAACATCATTGTCGTTTGCCAATTCATGGAAGTCAGTCATAAAGTTTAGCCTCTCTCGGTGCCTAGTTTAGAGTCGTGGGCCTTTCTAAGCGTCTTTAACTACGGCGATAGGAACAAACCTCTATTTTTGTGTGTATATATGTATATGTGTGTGTGTGTGCGTGCATATATATATATATATATATATATATATATATATATATATATATATATATATATATATATATATATATATATATATATATATATATATATATATATATATATATATAAATATATATGTGTGCGTGTGTATATACATGTATGTGTGTGTGTATACATGTACGTGTGCGTTTCTGTGTGAGTTTTACGCATCAATTAAACTTTCATAATGTTTCTCTTCGTCTAAGATTACTAGTGCGTGAATAAGACATCTTTCTTGATAAAGTGTGTTATGTTTCACCTCGGGCCGAAGAAATATCACCACCAACCTCCGTGATCGTGCATGAACGTGTTCAGCAAGATCGTCCACAGCCTCCGCCTCTCCTGTGTTCACCTGATATCACACTAAGAAGCTTCGGTCACTATGTCTTCGTCAAGGGATTTGGCCCACGACTCTCGGGGACAAGTTTACCCCGAATTCCGAGTCCAAACTTGGCGTATTACGAACACTAATGAGATTTGGAGCAAAGGAGTAAGATATCGGAGTAGAAATAAAGAACTGAGAGACGTATCGCTCTTTCTTCCTTACTCTCTTGAATTTGTCTTTCTATTTTTTATCATTTGGTAGAAGGTTAGATAGTAATTAATCTCTATTTAGTATGGATGTTATTTAAAATTTTTGTTTTATACAAAGAATATGTATTATTCTAGCTTTAGGTTGTGCTATGTAATGGGAAGTAGTATATATACAGTATGTGCTGGTATATTATTTATTTATCAACAATGAATAATAATAATAATAATAATAATAATAATAATAATAATAATAATAATAATAATAATAATAATAATAATAATAATAATAATAATAATAATAATAATAATACCAGGAAACAATAATGGTAATATTCATACCATTGTTACTAATAATAATTAATACCAAAAATATCTTCACCAGAAGTTGGTCTTTTTGTTGTTGGATATTATTAATAGTGTTAATAAATTATTATTGTTGATATTAAGCCACTGTTATTAATACAGGACCATTTTTATCAATATTATTATTAATGTTTTTATTAACACTAGTTCAACTATTTTTATTTTTATTATATATATATATATATATATATATATATATATATATATATATATATATAAAATATATATATATATATATATATATATATATATATATATATATATATATATATATAATATATATATATTTATTATATATATATATATATATATATATATATATATATATATATATATATATATATATATATATACACACACACACAAGGTACAGTAGGTACAGCTATAAACGGTTTATCGGCAGGAAGTGCAAATTCCAGGAAGCCGATTCGTAAAAATATTTTGCAAAGCGATATCACGGTGTGTTTACGTCTAGCGTCAGTGAAGCACGTAATCATGAGTGTTTGTAAACAAATATATTGACGTCACGAGCGAGTTATCAGGAAATACATTATATTTACATTATACTTTATAAATGTGGTCGGATAACTAAGCTTGTTTCGTGCATTGGAGAACAAACAACCATCACAGTGTGTGTGTGCGTCTCAAGTATATAATTGTAT